ATCTGATTCCTATTATCCTCTAAAATTTTAAAGAGGAAACAAAGTATGCAAATGACCATTGGGATATTATAGCAACTGATTAAAAGCACAGCATATTACAAATAACTTTTACTTTTTAAATTGCTATAGAATACTCAAACATTTGTTTAGCCATGTCCATTACAAAAAAAAATGTTGTAAAGAAATCCTTTTACCAGTTGTCATTAAATCAATGCAAAGAAACTCTAAAATATGACGTGTGTGTGTGTGTGTGTGTTGTATATACACAAGGTTAAGTATTTCTCTAGCAGTAGAATCACTAGGTCACTGATGCATCTTTCAGTTCAAACTCACTTCAAAGTGCCTTCAAGTCAAAACTGCTTAATAGCTGACCTTCTGCTGGGTTTCTGAAGCTGTAAATCACGTGGGATGAGATTGTCTATTTTTCCTTGGAGGAGGTTCTGGTAGATTTAAACCACCCAAGAAATCTAGCATTTGGGTCAGCAGGAAAACTTCTTATGGATTGTGCCACAGAGCTCTCACATCTTTCAGAAGTTATGGTAAATTGCTTTCAAAGGAAGCCATACCAATTTACATACTATTTAGAGGGACAGGGTTTCTTTTTTCCTAGATTTCCATCAGCAGTGAAATTATGAAAAGAGCGTCAAGATACACTGTTGAGAGAGAAGAGCAAGGAGCAGAAAATGCATAAAGCTAGGTAGACTATTGTTATTTCCTTCCAGCCAGCACCAACTCTTACAGATCCTTTAGGATGCAGATTGGCCTCCCAGGGTTTCCAAAGCTGTAAGCATTACAGGAGCCCACTGCTCCCTTTTCTCTACAGTGGCCCATGGGCTTGACTGCTTCACTGTCAGGGCTCCCTGATAAAATGTAGGTAGTCCTCGACTTAGATGTTTGAGCTGCTAAGAGCTTCACTTAGTCGGGGGTTTTGTTTGTTGTACATAGTAATAAATGTTATTGTACATAGTAATACATGTTGTTGTTGTTGTGTACCATAGAGTTGGAACTGACTCATACTGACACTCCAGTGGGTTTTCAGAGGAAGTAATCACATGGGAGGAGTTTGCCCATCTTTCACCCACAGATCAGCTAGTGGTCTCAAACTGAGTGCCCTTAGGATTGCAGCACACCTTCTTGCCACTAGGTCATCAGAGCCAGCTAGCTAGTTCTATCTATCTATCTATCTATCTATCTATCTATCTATCTATCTATCCTCTATCTACCTATCAATCTATCATCTATCTATCTCTATATCTAGCTATAAATCTATACCCAGCTATAAATCTCTCTATATACACATACATATATATATCTATATGCTGTTGTTGCTGTTGTTATGTGCCGTCAAGTCGCTTGTGACTCATACTGATTCTCTCTTTATATATATATGTGTGTGTGTGTGTGTGTGTGTGTATATACGTATATATATGTGTGTTTATATACATATATAGATACAAATACATATATATACGTATATATATACATATGTATACGTGTATATATACATATATACATACACACACACACACACACACATATATATATATATATATAAAATCTCATTGCTGTTGTGTTAGGACTGACTCATAACCAATCTTCCAGGAGCTGTAAATCACATGGGAGAAGAGTACACATTTTTATCCTATGGAGCAACTGGTAGATTTGCACTGCGTCCTTGGCAGTGCAACTCCTTACCCATTAGACCACCAAAACCCCCATCTATGCATTTGAGTTGCATCAGAACTGACTCATGAGAATGATTAGACTGCTGTACTTCTTAGAGTTTTCCTTGGCTAATAGTTTTGAAGTAGATTTCCTGGCTTTCTTCCTAGTCTCTTTTAGACTAAATCTCTGTTGAAATCTGTTAAGCAACACACAAGCACTCACTTGATGGAGCATAGTGGTTGTGCTTAAGGTACATGAACTAGGAATCAAACTCACTTCCCCAGCATGAACAATGAGAAAAACCTACCATTTAACCACTACCACTTACAAATAAGGTTAAACAAAGAATTCAAAGTCATTGCCATTGAGTAGGAATTGACTCATAGCTGATGCTCCAGTGGGTTTTCAGAGGCTGTAAATGGCACAGGAGGGGGCTACCCATTTTTCTCCCAAGTAACAACTGGTAGATTCCAATTACTAGAGCGATATCACCCTTGAAAGGAGCTCTGGTGGCCTCATGGTAAGAACCTGCGCTGCAATCCTGAATGCACACTGTTTGAATCCACTAGCTGTTCTGGGGGTGAAAGATGGGCGTTCTCTTCCCGTGCAATTAACTTCTTCTGAAAACCCACTGAAGCATCAGCCATGGGTTGGTTCTGACTCGATGGTACACAACAACAACAACAACATCACCTTTGAAATTAACAGTGAAATTCCCAATGGACTACACCACCAAAGCTCTCTAATGACACACTAAGAAAAGCCAATTTGAAGTCAACCGGTATAAAATACAAATCTTATTTTAAAGAATAATAAACATAGATCAATAGTAATTAATTCTATATAATACAATATATGTGAATGAGTGTATGAGACAATGTAAATGAAAGATTATATAAAACACAATGTGCATGAATGAAACACAATGTATATGAATTATTGTATGAAAACCAATAGAA